GTGACCCGGCCAGGGAAGCCTGTCAAGCGAGGGTTCCCGGCCCCTGTCAGCCGGACTGACAATGTCAACCGGGCCTGCTGGACAACGGGTCCGCCTGACCCGGGTCTCGGGCCGCCCCGGGACCAGATCAGGGCCCCCCGGCCCAATCCTCCCGGGACAACTTAAGCCTCCTGGCGGGCCTCCCAGGGGGGTTCTGAGGCGGGGGGCTGAAAGGCTGCAGTCGGTCTACTGACGGGCCCGGCCGGCAAGGATCCGTCGAGAAACAGGGGGGTCAAGGGAGGTTTTCTTTCCCCCCTGGGAAAAATGTCCTATGGGTTTTTGGATTCTGCGATATAAAAAAGTCTTGTCTCGGTCACGTGATGTTTCACGTGACCGGTCAGGTGAGCCTGTCAGCCGGGTCAAGGCCCCTGTCAGCCGGCTGACATGTCACGGGCCTGCTGACACGGTCCGCTGACCGGTCACGGCCGCCCGGAGAGATCAGGCCCCCGGCCAATCTCCGGACACTTAGCCTCCTGGCGGGCCTCCAGGGGGTCTGAGGCGGGGCTGAAGGCTGCAGTCGGTCTACTGACGGGCCCGGCCGGCAGGATCCGTCGAGAAACAGGGGGGTCAAGGGAGGTTTTCTTCCCCCTGGGAGAAATGTCCTATGGGTTTTTGGATCTGCGATATAAAAAAGTCTTGTCTCGGTCACGTGATGTGTCACGTGACCGGTCAGTGAGCCTGTCAGCCGGGTCACGGACCTGTCAGCCGGCTGACATGTCACGGCCTGCTGACACGGTCCGCTGACCGGTCACGGCCGCCAGGAGAGATCAGGCCCCGGCCAATCTCCGGACACTTAGCCTCCTGGCGGGCCTCCAGGGGGTCTGAGGCGGGGCTGAAGGCTGCAGTCGGTCTACTGACGGGCCCGGCCGGCAGGATCCGTCGAGAAACAGGGGGGTCAAGGGAGGTTTTCTTCCCCCTGGGAGAAATGTCCTATGGGTTTTTGGATCTGCGATATAAAAAAGTCTTGTCTCGGTCACGTGATGTGTCACGTGACCGGTCAGGTGAGCCTGTCAGCCGGGTCACGGCCCCTGTCAGCCGGCTGACATGTCACGGGCCTGCTGACACGGTCCGCTGACCGGTCACGGCCGCCCGGAGAGATCACATAGCGTTGTCGCTCTCAACTGACCCCTCTGGTTTCCAATAGTTTTCTGTGGGGGTATCCTTCCACACATGTGAATAGCAAATGGCAGTTGGGGTCTGGGGTGGGTCAGTCGGCTGGGAGCTGATTCAAATTGGTTGGGACCTGTTTAAGGGGGTAGGGTACTTCCTGGTAGCAAATAATTGTACCAACAGTACCAATTTTATGGTACATATTCGAGTACTGTTAGGAAAACTTGTACCAAAATAGTTTATGCGGTACCTCCCCTGTTCAAACTATGATGCTTTGGACCCACCTGTTTCCCAGTGAAAGTGCCTTCTCCGATGGGGTCAAGTTTTGGACCCTACCCTGCCTCCGACCAAC